TGTGTGTGTGTGTGTGTGTGTGTGTGTGTGTGTGTGTGTGTGTGTGTGTGTGTGTTTGGATTTTTGGAAACTATATCATTAATAATGCCCCTTTTTAAAAATGAATATTTCAACTTTATGCTCATTTACAACTTGTACAGGGAGTATCAATCTCACAAAAACATTTTTCACATAATGGCTTATACAACCCCAGCTCATTTTATTTTATTTAACAACATGATCATTAAATGCTTTTGCACCTAACTTGTTTTAAAAATGTAAAATACTTAGTACCAAAATTTTTCATTCATTTTTGTAAGGTGTCCACTTTGGATCCTTTGAGACAGTATTCTGAAGGGGACTTAAAGGTTTACAAGAATTACTTCATCAGTGAATCAATAAGTGTGTTTTTGAATCCATCCATCCATCCATCCATCCATCCATCCATCCTTACACAATTCTTCCTTTCAGGATCACAGGGATCACCAAATCCAGCAGTCAGTCAATGTGTAAGGGGAGGGATACACCTTGGACAGTTCACCAGTCCATCACAGGGCTTGTTTACATGTTTTCTGAACCCCACACATGTAAACCTTAGACTCCCAAACTAAAATCTAGAAACTGTAAATAAGCTTTACATCATCTAATTTAAAGTTCATAAAGTCCGTAAATCTAAAAAGAAAACATGCTTTTTGTATATTTTGCTTTATTGTTTATGGGTGGAACTAAAGTAAAAATGAATTGTCATTTCTGCACTTGCAGAGGGAAGAATAAACAGCTGCTGGATGCTCTCATAGGTATATTCATTGGCAATAACCTTAATGAACTAAAGAACAAATCAATTCTAGATAAACTAGATTCATTGTGTCTGATCTACACTGACAAACCATGCACATGGCAAAGTGCACAGTGTAAAAATATTTAAGATGATTTAGCCTTTTGAAAGTTGGTGTTAAATTACAGTTAGGACTTTCCTGCTTTCTGACAAATGGAGAAACGGGAAGGTTACTTGGTGGTCCGTAAACAGGTATAGGGAGCCTGATAATAAACACTATGGCTTCTGTGTGCTGATGAGTTATGGAGATGGTCTATACGCCACAGTTACAAATATAAACGCTTCTCCTATCACTGAGGCAGCCTTAGATTTTTAATTAGCATGCCATTTCATATGACTGTAGACATTTCAAAGGGCTGCTTTGTGCTCAACCCTTACAAATGTCTCTCTCTCTGCGTTTGATGTCGGCCTGATGTAAATATGGGCAATTAAAAAGAAGCCCAGGGTTGGAGATGCACAAGGTCTGCCTAATTAAAACACAAACAAAGGTAGCAGGCAGAAAACACCTTATGATTAAGATCTAAAGTGTTGTGATGAATTAGAGGTTCCATTAATTGTTAGGTTAAAACGAGTACAAAAGGCAAACATGCCTGTAGGTTTCAAATGGATGAAAGATAGCAGAAAATAAAGGCTGACATGCAGATAAAGACTACAGTATAGTGGCTGAGTGGCCTTGCATAATTCTACGCAGATCGCTGACTGATTCCTCAGCCAATTATACCAGGCACCTTTACGCTTCCGTTGGACATTGTTTCATGAAAACCTTGAAAGACAAGTAATTTTGTTGCAAAAGCAAGTGTTGGAATGCGACTGGTGTGAAAGTAAATTTATTTTATTTAGCTTTTCTTAGAAAACAAATCTAAAATGAAAATCGATCGGTGTGATAGAACTTGACCTGAGGGTTTACCTATGAAACAAGACATTCTTTTACCAAGGTTGTGTTCAAACATGCCTCGAATGCTTTATCCTGTTGAAGTGAACACAAAAGTACAGTAAACAAACAAAGCAAAACAATCGTATCAACAGCATCAAAGATTTGCTTTTCAAGGTCTGCCAACCCAGCCTTTTAGCTCCTGCAGACGACACATCTGTAATTATAGCTTATTGGAGTGTGGGTGTTAGGCTGCATAATGGTTTAGACGTATAGAGTCAGGAGAAACAAGCACAAAGGTCTTGTAGAGGCAACGCGCTTAAGTCAAACATGTTGGATTGTATTATCAGAGGTTAATGATTTCAAATCTCCATCTGCCTTTTCTAACTCGCTTTAAAGGCTTAGTATCAGTATGAGCAGGCAAAAAGAAAAGTTTGTGAGGGAGCATTAGCTGCGGATTTCTTTTCACCCGTCAATTCCTGAGCTAACTGTTTGTTTTCATACCTGAGCTTAGCTGTCAATCTGCAGGAACGATGAAATCTCCTGAACAAAACCACAGAAGAAGAAAGGCAGGCCAACTGGAAGGGCTCCAAGCCACACAAAGTGGTAGATAATAAAAGGCTAGGTGGAGGGAGTGCAGGGGAAAGAAGTAGGCCAAAAAGACATCAGACGTGGATGCTCAGACTTCCATCACATACTGCTTGGTAATATATTATTTTAAAAGTAATACATATATACTATGGAAAATGTATATGAATCTAGTGCACAGTGTCCAATAGAAGATAAGTACCCCCTCTGTTGCATGCTTGCACTGTGCACCATCATTGCGGTTCATACTCAACAGAGCTGTTTAAGTTTCCCTGCTGAGTGCCAGTTTACCACCCTCCCATTGGGGGCAAAAAACATGCATTCTGTTCAAGCATTTACACAAACTGGAGGGAAATATGTAGTTACTAAATTGGAACACAAGCTGTATTCATTTTGAAGGAATCTGCTGGAAAAAAAAAAACCGAGTGAGAAAGAAAAAAAAAAGCTTAACACTGTAAGCATTGAAATGGCAGCTAGAATTCTGAAGCAGAAAAATCCGGACTCCCCGCGCTGTCACAATCAATTTGAGAATGGTTTCTACATGACAGTGGTCGGCTGCGCACAGACAGTCCTGTAGCGGGCAGATAAGTGGAAGCTCTTTAGGAGGAGAACAGAGGGCAGGGCAGGGTGGTAGCTGAGACTGATTTGATGCTGGCCCTACCTGCTCTGGCCGCACTCCTGCGCAGACAGAAAAGAGTCCACTGTCTGAACACAGAGCCCGTATTGTTGAGACGCATTGGGTTTGCTTCAAAACGTTTTCATTCGCTTTAAAATTGAACTTAATGAGCTGTGTGAAGTGATGTTTTGCATGCAGATACACAGCTAAGTACATTTTCKTGCGACACAATAATATATAGTAGACTCGAAATGGTTTGTGTCCTGACTGCGTACTGTGTATTACACACTTTATATCTACTCAAACGTATAAAAAAAACACATTCACACAAATAGCACAAAACAGTGCCTGTCCGGTTGCTCCAGTCAAAAAATGCCTCAGTTAGCATTTCTCTACAACACTTCAGTCAACTGTTTGCCCTGTGCATTCAGGTGAAATATGAGCCACAGTAAATCATTATTCCTCAGGCCACATTTGCCAGATGAATGCATGTGAGTGTTGGACTGTGTGTTTTTCTCCTCTAATGAATTGAGGATTTTAGCTTGTGGCAGTAGAAGTAAAAAAGGGGGCATTGCCTGTGCTCATGTATGTTTGTGTATGTGTGCAAAAGGGGTGTAATTCTGTAAAATTGCAATTGAATTTAATTAGGTTGCCATTGGTTGTTCTACTAAAGAGGCCTTGGTGTGCCCATATGAAAGAGGATGACAGATATGGATGGTTGGATGGATGGATGGCTACCCTAAGTAGTTCAGTAGAAGGCAACAGGACTTATTCTCTTGATTCTTGAAGACGTTTTACTTCTTGTCCAAAAAACCTTTCCAGTTACGACTGATAGTTGGGAGTTAGAGGCTTCTAAATCATTGTTATAACAACAACAATAATAGGGCCTTTAAGGTCACATGAGTTGCTGACGCATCCCTTCGTCCTGAGTCGTTTTGGTTGTTGACACTTGTTTCATTATGTTTTGGTAACATAAGGTTACAGAATTCTTGCCTTCTTAGTTCAAAGTTTCAACAAATGTTAAAACTAATTATCAAACAGACCACATATTTTACACTTTATTTTGTTCTTGTGACATATATTACATAATCGTGTTGTATTTTTAACAGAGAAATACTGTACAGTTCTATGTTAAAAAAATGATTGTTGGATTTACTTAACCAAGTTTTGTCAACAATTTCCACTAAACTGCAATGAGTAAGTGTAAATAAACTTTCACATTTTCTTTAAAAATAAATTTGAAAGTTGTGTTACACTTCACTCAGTTG